ATAGCCACCACAAGTATTGCATCGTGGCGGTTGCTAGTCTTTAAAGCCCTTCACTAGTCATGCTCGCATTCCTCAACCCCAAGAGACATTTTTCTTTGTCAATAAATGGTAGATCTTCGCTCAAATATCCCAATATAAGAGACTTGGATTTCCAACTCAAAAATCAATTCGCAATGAGTGAATTGGTCCAAGTTCATTATATTATCCAAGATCTCTCCCAACTTTCAATGTGAGATATTTCTATTGGGATTAGGTAGATATAATCTCTATTAGGATTAGGTAGAGATTATTGAGCAATTAAATCTTAATCTCTAGTGAGTGTGTGAGAAATATCCCATATTAGAAGTTGGGAAAGATCTTGAGTAATATATAAAGGACTTAAACTAATTCACTTATTGCCAATTGGTTTTGAGTTGAAAATACAAAAAAATTAACAAATTTGGAGGAAACCTTAGAAGGATAATAGTTTCTCTCAATTATATTGATTAGCCATTATGCTTATTTATACTAAAGATATAGCTTTATTAATAATTTTTAACATATTTGATGATGGAAATGTACCTAATTAGTTAATAGAAAATATACACAAATATTAATTTCCTTTCTACTCGATCTCTCCAAAATCTCTTCAACACCCTCCCGCAAGCTCATACGTGGTAACATGACACGTCATTAATGTATCGGTATTATACCCGGCCATCGGGTCATCTTCACAGAATTTATACCCCATTGTAGGGTTATCAATTTGGTGGAAAATACATCATGATTGTAGTTGTGTATCCACATCATCATCTCGTCATGGTGGAGTCACCGTACTAACAGTATCTTCGTGGTCATCATCATATTCGTAGTTGATAGATAACCACATGAAAACCTGGAAAAAAAATTAAGAGGATGAAATATGAACGAATCCATTAGGTTCATGCTCATAGTCGCCATAATCATCAAATCGTTAAATTTCTTTTTTTTTTTTTTTTGAAAAATCAACTCAGTAATTAAAAGAAGGAAGGAAAGATAAAATAGAATTATAAATAGAAATAGAAGAGGTTATCGAATAAGGTACAAGAAAATGTCAACGAGAGAAGTCGTTTTTTTTTTAACTAGGAGAAAACCTGCGCATATGTGCGGTCTTATTTTAATTTATATTTTATATAATTTTTATTGCATTTTATGTTTATTATTAATGTTTGTTTAAAATATTTATATTTTTCTCAATTGCTTTTTGATGATACATTATTTGTAATCTTTTCAATAGTAGTTGTGTCAAATAATCTAATTTTTACCAAGATAATAATGTACTAAAATTCTACTATTTTAATTTTTGTATAAAACGTAATAGTTTACTTAAAAATATAAGTTGAATATCAGAAAGAAATATTTATTTATTCATCGATCTTCATATTCTTTTTATTCTTGTAGATCTTACTAATATAATACTTGTTAATTTTTTTAATCTACTATTTTGAATTTTTTTGGCTATATATATTTTATTAATTTAATCTTTTTAAATTTTTTTAAAAAAATATATGTCTTCTAGGTCTATCTAGCACCTAGACAAAAAAAACGGAGATTAATCAGAGATTAATCGTAGATTCATTTTTATATTTATTTTAATTATTTTAATTACTTTTTAATATTTATTTATTTTTAAGATTAATTTTGTTTTATTTGACATGTATGAACTAAATTTTGTATAAATATGTGTATAAAGATAGATTTAGAAGACATATTGATGTGATGAAGACCCAAATTTAACTCAAACATATAAATAGCCATGACAATTTTTTAAAAGCGGGTCTTTTGGTTTGTACCACATCGACAAACTTAGATAATTGAGTAGGGCAAGCTGCACTATAAATAAGAGTCTTCATCTTCTGGCCCAAAACAAAGACTGAATGCGTTACACTGTTAGGTCTGTATTTGAGCCCGATTTTGAACTTAAATAATTGAGTTTTTACAAAAATTGGTTCTAGGCGGTCTAAAATTGAATAGGCGGTCTATTCTTTTAACAAATGGTGCACGTGGTGCTCTTTCTAGTCTGACGAATCCAGTTTTTCTATATAAAATGATTGCAAATAAGAAGTCCTAGATGATAAGAAGTGGTTCAAGGATCGAACAAAAACCAAAAGTTTGTATGATTTGGTTAGGGCATGACTGCATATCTAGATTTGCGGGATAATCAATTTTATTCAAAATCTCTGGATATTTGAAAACTGGATATCCAGCTTAAATTAAATATATATGGATATCCGACCGGATATCCGGTTTCGTTGATTGGTTGGATATCCGATTTCGTTGATTTAAAAAAAAATCTTCAATTTTTTAAAAATTATAATACAATAACATATATAATTAAAATGTATCAACTTAACAAAAATTACAAATACCAAAAATTAAAATCATTTAAATAGCATTCAAATAACAAAAAGTTTAAAAGTTTACATAGCAAAAGAGAAAATAGTAATAGAGAAGCTAATTTATTTTTATATTCATGTGTTATTCATTTTCATGTTCTGTTCTCACAATCTAAAATAGAAAATTATCATGCAATATAAATTTCAATTAATATTATTAAAATAAATTAATATTTAATAAACGGATAATGGATAACGGATATCCGATTTCAAAATTTTCTATTATTCGGATTCATATCTGAAATAACCGAATTCTTAATTTCATTATCCGGATCAGGATCCGAACTCTACGGATATTCGGTTTTTAAGAATTGGATAGGATTGGATACTGGAACAGAGACCGGATACCGGATAATAATTTCAGCCCTAGATTTGATTATGGCTCTGATACTATAATAAGTTTAGAGGAAACTTTAGAAGTAAAATAGTTTCTCTCAATTTTATTGATTAGCTATACAAAAGATATAACTTGATTAATAAGTTCTTTACATATTTGATTTTTGCATATTTGATGATCGAAATCTACCTAATTAGTTAATAGAGAATATACACAAATATTTAACTTTCTTTCAACTTGATCTCTCCAAAATTTCATAACATAACATAATAGAGAATATATACAGTTGTTAAGTTTCCTAAACTTCCAACTCAAAACCAATTAATAATTAGTGAATTGACTTAAATCTTTTATATATTACCCAAAATCTCTCCCAACTTTCAGTGTACATATTTCCCACACAATCTCTAGAGTTTAAGGCTTCATGGCCCAATAATCTCTACCTAATCACAATACAAATATATACAAAGGATATAGGATAACCTCCAGAGTATCACCACATATCTATCCATTTCAATTGATAAACAGCAATGTCTGAACAAAGATTTTCGAGGAAAAGGCAAAACTAAATTATAAGAGAGAGCGACATTTACCTCAGTTTGATTCATCGATGCAGCAATATGGAAGACTGTGTTACCATATTCATCCTTCCAGTCTAAGATTTCCTTCCTGTTTTCTCTCTTGACCCATCCATACAGAACCTTAAATGCCAAAAGCTGCTGATTCTTCACGGCAATTGTGCACAGCTGTCTCACACTTAGTCGTCAAATCTTCTGTGGAAGAAGGACAAGCGAACAAGAACTCGCTCAATAAATGTGCATGGCCTAGTTGAGCCACATGATGCAAAGGAGTAATTCCTCCTTTTCCCTTGATGCTCACTAAGCTGCTGTCAATTGCCACAAACTCTCTCACCATTCGAATGTGGTTGTTTTGCAGTGCTAAATGCAACGGGCTGAAACCTGACACGTTCAGCTTGGAAGCAAACGACGCCTTAAGGTTCATCAACTCCATGAAAAAAAGAGTTCGCCCGCGTTCAGCTGCAATATGTAGTGGCGTCTCACAAAAGGGCACTTTATCAAAGTGACCTAGAATGTCTGGATCTTCTGCTATCAACTGATAATCAAGAGAGAAGGAAGAACCAATTTTTTTTTTTTTTTTTTTTCTGAACACTGGTTTTATTAGAATAGTTCAAGGAGATCTTGCAGTTGTTGGGAGGTAATGTTGTGTTTTCTTTCTTCTAATATTCGATATTAGGGACATTATGAAGATTTTGTTTTGGTTAAGAAATGTGAAAAATGCAGGAACATAATCCATGGAAGTGATGGGCCAGAGACAGCAAAAGATGAGAAACCACAAGAACTTGGTTCTTACACCAATAACGCTGAGAAGTGGATCTATGGCGACAACTAAATCTCCTTATCTTTCTTTCATCAAAAAAAAAAAATTTCTACATAGCCAAACAATGAAAACGAGAAACAGTTATTACGGATACAAACACATCCTGGATGATTGGATTATATAATTCTTGTTTGTTTTGTCGAATTGTTGGACCTTTAATATACAAAGATTGAGAAATGACGGATTTTGTTTTTTTTAGTTTAATGTTAAATTATATTTAAAGAAAAAAATAAACGTTTTACAACTTTGATTGAGCTTTTGAGAACTAGAAAGTATTAAGAAACAGTATTTTGAATCGTTCTTGCTGCTTATCGAGTGGAGAACCTCATACCTCATATCACCAGTTCTTTGGATCGAACTTAGCTAGTTTCTAACGTTTTTGTCTATCATCTTGGATAGTCAGTGGCCGTTAAGTCTCTCCATGTCTTCTATGGTTTCTTTCTCTCTGTACCGAATGAATGGATGCTTCGTACGTTTCTTTTTCCTATCAATTACCAAAATGTGCAGATTCTAAATATTTAGCTTGAGTTTTGAGAGACAACCAAAAAAAAAATGGCTAAGTACATGGCTTAGTTTTTTTTTACAACTTTTTACATGAACCCCCTTCATACAAAGATTCGTTCATAGCTAGTAACATTTTACGAAAATTATAGAAAACCTCCATAAATAATAGACACAAAATTCCATGGAAAAACTGGAAACAGAACTGATCAGGAGATAATGGCACATTGTAATGTAAATGTGCATTAATTCAAAGAATAGCCAAACATGGAATAATACTTGAAGATCGTTGATATCATGTAATACATTACTGATAGTCAAGAGAGAAAGAAAGAACTCAAAGTTCTGAATTACTTCAACATATCAACCAAATTAATACACAAAACATATACTGCAAACACCAACATTAAACAAAGCCCGATAAACAATAAAAGATAGTGACGAAGCGATGCATCACATGAGCTGAAGCAGCTCGCCGGGAAGTCCACTCGGTGCCGGCGATATTTATCAACAATGAATGCCATGACAGTAACAAACAACATAATTACTATAATCGATGGGAATCCAAAGGCGAAGACTACCGTTGATATATCTTCGAGTTGGCCATTTGAATGCGGGAGTATAGTACGGTAAGATGCTATCATCGCAGTACTTAAAGCCCCCGTTGAACCATAGATGAACTTCCACAGAGGCAGTCCAATTATGAGAATTATGATCACATATAGAGATGATAAAAAGGCAAAACCGTTGAGGACATTAAAGAATAAGGAAACGTCGAAATCCATAGTCATCTGCCCAGCAACGTGAAAATTCGGATCACTATGATTTGCAGGATTTGAACTTTCCTGCCAAAATCCGCCTGGAGGACTGAGACCAGCCTGGTATGTAGCTGTTGCTATCAGTACAGCCACCACAAGTATTGCATCGTAACGGTTGCTAGTGTTTAGAGACATGTCTCCGGTCATGCTCAAATTGCTCAGACCCAAGAGATTGTTATGTCTCTCAATAAACGTTAGATTTTTGCTCAAATATCCCGCAAGGGTCGTTGTGGAATGACCAAGTAGTCTTTCTTTAGCACTGTGGAGAATTCTTCTTGCTTTGAGGAAACATGGAGATTGGTGACTTTGAAGTATGTCCATCGCGGTTTTGCCATCCAAATTCTTGGCTTTTACTTTAACGGTTTTACGGAGCAACTTCATAACCTATATTGAAGAGAGCAAAGTCCCAGGTCATGAGAGCATAACTATCCATTTAATGGTCAAACAGCACTGTCTGAAACAAAATTTTCGAGGAAAAGGAAAAACTAAATTATTAGAGAGAGACATTTACCTCAGTCTGATTCATTGATGCAGCAATATGGAAGGCTGTGTTACCATCTTCGTCCTTCCAGTCCAAGATTTCCTTCCTGTTCTCTCTCTTGACCCATCCATACAGAACCTTAAATGCCAAAAGCTGCTGGTTCTTCACGGCAATGTGCACAGCTGTCTCACACTTAATCGTCAAATCCTCTATGGAAGAAGGACAAGCAATCAAGAACTTACTCAACAACTCTGCATCGCCAATTCGAGCCACATGATGCAACGGAGTCATCCTTCCTTTTCCCTTGATGCTGATTAAGCTGCTGTCAATTGCCACAAATCCGTTCACCATTCGAATGTGGTTGTTTTGCAGGGCTAAATGCATTGGGCTGAAACCTGCCACGTTTAGCTTCGAAGCAAGCAACGGCTTAAAGGTCATTAATTCCATGGCAAAATGAGTTTGTCCTCTCTCAGCTGCAATGTGTAGTGGCGTCTCACAAAGAGGCACTTTATCAAAGTGACCTAGAAGGTCTGGATCTTCTGCTATCAACTGGTAGAGTCTTTCTATATCCCCATCTTGAGCCGCCTTCTTAAATTTCTCATAGATATTTGCATCATGAGTGCTCGTACCTGAACGTCCACTCAGATTTGCATCTTGAGCTACCATATCTGATACTCTAGTGACATCCACAACAATCGACATAACTTCACTAGTCACCTAGGCTTTTGCTGCTGCACAAACTTTTTTTTATTTGGCTCCTGAAATATTTCTTGGTGATGTAAATCAAATAATGCGTATCAAACATTACAAGTACCGATCAAGCATTTTGTTTAAAACAAATGCAGATCAAATCTAGCAAGTCATCTTATTTGACTGAATAGTGAAAACCATAAAAATGATGCAAATGTAATATTTAAAAAGAATATATATGTCGCTTTTTTATAAGAAGCTATATTATGGATGATGCGTCAACAAGCATAGCTAGTTATTGTAAGCAAATTATATAAAATTATGAAGATGCAAGATAAATATATATAATTTTCTTTATATCTAAAGAATGTTATGTTTACTGATAATGATTGAAGATAGTCAATACGAAATATGTATAAAATATATCTCACTAAATGAACATATTCTTTTCAAATAAAAATTATTACACAAAAAATAAATAGAGATCATACCTTAAACTTACGAGAAATTTGGTTTTGTAGAATTGCTTTTATGGAAGTGAATATTTAGTTACGAAACTCAATATTTTATAAGCAATTAAAAGGTTTAAAAAAAAGATTTGAAGTACAAAAAAAAAGAACCTTATATGCATTAGTGTCCAACACATTACTACTTTTGTGTGCATATCAAACTTTTTAAATTCACTTTATTCAGCATGCATAACACATTTTTTAAAAAGTTTATTCTGCATGCATAACACATTTTTTTTGTTCTGTGTTATCAATCAATTTTACCAAAAAAAAAAGAAAGTCTCCAATCAACTATGATATTCCACATACTTTCCCCGGCAAATTATTCTAAGACATGGCGAATAAAAGTTAATTAGGTCCCACGTCAGAGTGATTGAAAAGTGAAAACCATAAAGTCTTCTGTGCAATACACGAAAACGACAAGAAGCATCATTAAAATTTGAAAAAAACGTTACGCAAACCAGTAAAAAGGATACCTTGTTGAACAACCAACGTTTGTGTCCATACCAAACATATCATTCCATCAGATAATACAAAAGTAAAAGAACAACTAGAATTGGAGTTTATAATGTAATATTCATAAGGAAAACAAGAAAGTATCAGATTTGTTAAGTCCAAACCTGGTAAATCAATACAAAAAAAAAAAAAAAGACAAGATGCACACATGAACTTAAAAAGGGTTGCCTTGTTGTTTGTTGAAATTCATTTTCTAACAGAGCGATGGATGTGTGGAGATTAACATATAAATTATGAACAGTCAAAGATATTGCCCATACCAAACACCAAAGATATGAACAGACTTACAGAAATATGATGTATCACTACATCTACGATTGCTAATATAAACACGTTTTTTCGATCAGAGAATGCAAAAGTAAAAGACCAACAGGAACTAGAGTTTACCTTAATAGAGAGTAGCTTATAAGCTTTTCGGGTCTTACATGAATAATGGCCACTTCTCGATTCACTCGTCTTAGTAAATTGGGTCTATGGCTATTCCACTCGGATAATATGTTGACCTAAGCTTGAAGATAACATTCTAGAAGCTAGTTAGTATTTCCTATTAGGATTAGGAATATGTTTAGAAGTTATCTAAACATAATTAGAAAGTTGTCTAAGAAAAGGAAAGTTGTCTAAGAAAAGGAAAGTTGTTATTCTAATAGGTAAAGAAAATCAGTCACTATATATGTAACATCCCTATCCGAGGCTTCCTAAAAAACCCGGAGAAATAGAGCATGTTAAGGACCCCAGTCCTCTGGTGAGCCTCAGGTTCCCAGGTTCAAAAACGCCCAGATAGCAATCAACAGTATAAACATAACTGATCTACCTGAAAATGAGCAAGGAAGATGGAGGGATGAGTAATTGGGATTACTCAGCCAGGATGGACCTTAAGGAGGCCCACAACACCATCTAACAATCATGGACACAGCAGATAGACTAATCCTAAGTCAAGATAGCAAACAAGGGTAACCCTACAATCAACTACCAAGTAACAAAGAAACCTTAACCCATTAAGGAGAGCATCACCGTCTCATCGACAATGTCACTCCGCCCACCCAATCACCACAGAAAGGGGTCACCCATTCACCACAGAAAGGGATCTCAACAAGTAAAGGTCACTCAGTCGTCCTCAATCACTACAGAAAGGGACACACCCCCAATCACACAGAAAGGGTCACAAGACGGTCACACAGACAGGCCTCCAGCCATACAGGCTCCGGAAGGATCGGCGTACCTTCCGCTCACCATTGGACTAGCCCAATCCAGCCACTAGCCCAGCAAGAAACACCGCCCAATCACCACAGAAGGGGTCGGGGATCTAACAGATCTATATCACACAACCTAGACTATCTCAAACAAGGTAATCCAGATCACACACAATCAATCCATATTTTAGGGTTTCATAGATTAGTTCCAAGTTCAGGTTCAGTCATCAAGGTTCCTCCAACAACCAGCAATCATCAACAATCAATCAACAAGGAACCAGGTTCTAGTAATCTAACCCTAGCACACAGATCTAGTACTTAACCTAAGAAAAGGCTAACTACTATGGACAGGAGTGAAAGAGAGGGTGAAGCACAGGGTCCTCACCTTGGCACAGAAGGGCGAGCAATAGAAGGAGGTGATGGCATAGGAGAAGGATGACGAAGTGGAGATCCACCATCACTGGGTTCGGATTCAAGAGGAGGAGGAGTTAGGGGCGCACACATCTTGCAATGGAGAGGGGGAGGTTCGACTGAAAGGAGAGAGAGGAGAGATTAGGGCAAAGATGAGAAAGAGGAAGAGAGAGAGCGCAGATCTGGACACCCGATACGCGGTTCACGATAACTCTCGTGTCCGATCACGGATCAGGGCGAGACCGGTCTTATTAAGAAGCTTACCTCCGGGGCTTCGATTTGATATATTATACGTCACGTGGAGCTTCACGGATTGCCAGGAAATCGTCTCAGAAGTGAACGGCGGTTTAAGAGAAAAAGTGACGAAAAAGAGAGAAGATGAAGAGACTAGGGTTTTAGAAGTTGATGAGGGATCAGAGGTATTTATATTAGGTTAGATTAGTCTGGTCTGGGCTTAATAGATTAGATTAATGGGCTTGCAGAGAGTTAAAAAGAGATTAAAAAGAGATTAGAATTGGGCTTAATTAGGAATGATGGTTTAATCTAAATAAACCGGAATTGATTTTTAGTAACAACCGACCCGGCGGGTCGGGGTGTTACAATATAAGAGATACCAAAGTTGTTGTATTCCTTATGAGATTTGAGAGAGCTTAAGTTTTGAGTTATTTTCTTAAGCTAATAAAGAGAGTTATTCTTTGTTATTGAGTTCTTTCACAAGTTCGATTTCTATAATTGGTATCAGAGCCTTAAAGGAATCAAACCAAGTCCAGAATTTCGATCACGGAGATTCTGAAATACCAAACTATGGGAGACCTTATCCCTAACCCTAACCCGCGACCAAAAGAACCGAGTATCTCCTCCATACAATGCCTGATGCTTAACTCCACAAATTACACCGTTTGGGGCATCCGTATGAAGAGTTTACTCAAAGTCCACAAAGTCTGGGATATCGTCGAAACAGAAACAGCAGATGCCGAGAAAAACGATGTAGCAACAGCATTAATCTTTCAGTCAATACCTGAGACCCTTGTCCTCCAAGTTGGAGAACTAACTACTGCAAAGAAAGTATGGGAAGCGATTAAAACAAGGCATATGGGAGCAGAGCGAGTTAAGGCTAGATTGCAGACATTGATGTCCGAATTTGATCGGCTGAAGATGAAAGATACCGAAACCATAGATGACTTCAGCAGCAAGCTATCCGAAATTTCTTCTAAATCAGCTGCTTTAGGCAACACACTTGAAGACTCAAAATTGGTGAAGAAATTCCTCAGCAGTCTTCCTTGCAAGAAGTATATCCATATTGTTGCCTCACTTGAACAGGTGATGGACCTCAACACCACGAGCTTTGAGGATATTATTGGGCGTTTAAAGGCATACGAAGAAAGGATCCACGAGGAAGAAGATGCTCAAGAGGATCAGAGTAAACTGATGTATGCAAATACAGATACTCAGTCCCCACATGATTCCAATGGTGAATATAGAAGCAGAGGTCGAGGAAGACACTTCTATGGCAGAGGAAGAGGAAGGGGAAGAAACAATGGGCCAAGAGATATGTCCAAGATAACTTGTTATCGTTGCGACAAAACAGGACACTTCGCTTCGAACTGTCCCGATCGGCTACTCAAATTACAAGAAGCACAAGAGGATGACAACACTGATACACAAGACGCAGAAAAACTGATGATGCACGAAATTGTCTACTTGAATGAAGGAAAAATAGTGCCGAGTACCTACGAAACTAACTCCGAAGAAGACAATATTTGGTACCTTGACAATGGAGCCAGTAACCATATGACATGAGATCGACGTTATTTTGCACATATTGATGATTCGATTACTGGTAAAGTACGGCTTGGTGATGACTCCAGGATCGATATTAAAGGAAAAGGAACAATAGAGTTTACCGACAGAAACGGCGAACCAAGAAAGATGGCTGATGTTTATTACATTCCAAACTTGAAAAGTAATATAATCAGTCTCGGACAAGCTACAGAATCAGGATGCAAAATAAGGATGAAAGGGGAACATCTGTTAATGCATGATCCGGAAGGAAAACTATTAGCCAAAGCCACCAGATCGAGAAATCGGCTATACAAAGTTCAAATGAATTTCAAGAGTGATGAGTGTCTACATTCAACAGTAACAAGCAGTTCGAGCAGGTGGCATGAGAGATTGGGTCATGTAAATTTTGATACAATGAAAACCATGATGCAGAAGGAGCTAGTGTCAGGGATTCCAAACATACCCATCGAAAAGAAAGTCTGCGGATCATGTCTTCTTGGAAAACAAACGAGACACGTGTTTCCCCAAGCCACCTTGTTCCGAGCAAAGAAGAAACTTGAATTGGTTCATGGAGATTTGTGTGGCCCTATAACACCATCAACAGCTGCAGGAAACAGATACGTCTTTGTCCTTATTGATGACTATTCCAGGTATATGTGGACAATACTACTAAAGAGAAGAGTGACGCTTTCGAAAGATTCAAAAGATTCAAAGCTTTGGTGGAACAAGACTCAGATGCGAAGATTCAAACCTTCCGAACAGACAGAGCAGGAGAGTTTGTATCATTCGAATTCAACACCTTCTGCAACAATTCAGGGATAAAGCGTCATCTTACAGCTCCATATACGCCTCAACAGAACGGCATTGTTGAAAGGTGGAATCGAACGTTAATGGAGATGACAAGAAGCATTCTGAAACATAAATTGGTTCCGAATTACTTATGGGGTGAAGCTGTAAGGCATTCTATGTATCTCCTGAACAGAATTTCCACAAGGGCTCTAAAGGATAAAACTCCATACGAGATGTTTCACGGAAGAAAACCCAACATAGGCCATCTTCGAACCTTTGGATGTATCGGGTATGAAAAGTTAGAAGCATCACATCTAAAGAAATTGGATGACAAGTCGAGAATATTGGTTCATCTGGGAACAGAACCAGGGTCAAAATCATACCGTTTGATGGATCCAAAGACGAGAAAGGTGGTGGTGAGTAGAGATGTGGTTTTCGACGAAGAAAGAGGATGGAACTGGAATCAAGATACCTCGGAAGTGAATAAAGCTGGGAGTTTCAAAATCAGCCTTGGGGTCTTTGGGAATCATGGGATTCAGGATTCAGAAAGTGAGACTACTGAAACAGAGCTCGACGGAACAGAGCTCGACAAAATAGAGCATGGCGAAATTATCGAGTATGGTGACGAAGAGGAAGAAAGCATACACGATAATGAGGAAATCGAGACAAGAAATAACGAAGTTCAACCTGCATTAAGAAGATCACAACGTCCTAGAGTTAAACCGAAATATCTCGACGACTTTGTGATGCTCTGCGAAGAAGAAGCCGAGATGCTGCTATTAAGTTTAAACGACGAGCCGAGAAACTTTAATGAAGCAAAGGAGTCAAAGGAATGGATCAGTGCGTGTGAGGATGAGATGCGATCGATCACAAGAAATTGCACATGGGATCTTACAGACTTACCTCAAGGAGCAAAACCGATTGGGTTGAAATGGGTATTCAAGGTTAAAAGAAACTCTGACGGAAGCATTAATAAATACAAAGCTCGTCTCGTTGCTAAAGGTTATGTACAGAGGTATGGGATCGATTTTGACGAAGTATTCGCGCCTGTAGCACGGATTGAGACAATAAGACTCCTTATCAACCTCGCAGCATCACATGGTTGGCAAATACACCATTTAGACGTCAAAACTGCGTTTCTCCACGGAGAATTAAAAGAAACCGTGTATATCACACAACCAGAAGGCTTCGAAGTAAAGGAGAGAGAAGATAAGGTATACAAGCTCAATAAAGCCTTATATGGGTTAAGGCAAGCACCAAGAGCCTGGAATCATAAGCTGAATCAAATCCTTAAAGAACCGCAGTTTGTTAAATGCTCTAAAGAACCCTTGGTTTACAGAAGATTAGTGAGTGGAGATCTTCTTCTGGTTGCAGTTTACGTAGACGATTTTTTTATTACAGGAACAAACACGGAACACATCTACAAGTTTAAGAAACAAATGGCGTCCAAATTCGAGATGAGCGACCTTGGTAAATTAACATATTACCTTTGGATAGAGGTCTTACAACATGAAGAAGGGATAACCCTAAGTCAAAAACGCTATGCACTAAAGATTCTAGAAGATGCAGGAATGCGAAACTGCAATATGGCTCATACACCGATGGATCCAGGACTTAAGTTTTCTAGATCGGAGGAAGAGAAGGACATTGATGCCACGAGTTATCGGAAGAATGTAGGATGTCTCCGTTACCTGCTTCATACAAGGCCCGACTTAGCCTATTGTGTAGGCGTTTTAAGCAAGTATATGCAAAGGCCTAAAGATTCCCATGGAGCAGCAATGAAGCATTGTTTGAGATATTTGCAGGGAACGACTACTTATGGCTTAACATTCAAGCGATCAAAGGCAGAAGTACCAAAAGCTCACAGGTTTCAGCGAAAGCAGCTATAGCGTAGATCCTGATGATGGCAAGAGCATAACAGGTCACATTTTCTATCTTGGAGAAAGCCCTATTTCTTGGTGTTCACAGAAGCAAGAGATTCTAGCTCTATCATCGTGTGAGGCTGAGTTTATGGCGGGAACCGAAGCTGCAAGGCAGGCAATATGGCTGCGAGATTTGCTCAGTGAGATCACCGGTTCATCAAGTCAGAAAGTTGTCATTCGGATTGACAACCAGTCTGCGATAGCACTCACAAGGAATCCAGTGTTTCATAGCAGAAGTAAACACATTCACACAAGGTATCATTTTATAAGGGAGTGCGTTGAGAACGGTCAAGTGGAAGTTGAGCATGTTCCGGGTAATGAGCAAAAGGCAGACATATTGACCAAGGCACTAAGAAGGATCAAATTTAAAGAGATGAGGGATCTCATAGGAGTTCAAAGTGTGATAGATGATGATTTCAAGCTTAGAGGGGAGAATGTTGACTTAAGCTTGAAGATAACATTCTAGAAGCTAGTTAGTATTTTCTATTAGGATTAGGAATATGTTTAGGAGTTATCTAAACATAATTAGAAAGTTGTCTAAGAAAAGGAAAGTTGTTATTCTAATAGGAAAAGGAAATCAGTCACTATATAAGAGATACCAAAGTTGTGGTAGTCCTTATGAGATTTGAGAGAGCTTAAGTTTTGAGTTATTTTCTTAAGCTAATAAAGAGAGTTATTCTTTGTTATTGAGTTCTTTCACAAGTTCAATTTCTATATAATACTTCTCAAGGATATTTCCAAGCAGTATACTTGCATTAGCCGTATTTATCAAAAACTTGTGAGTTTAGACAAAAGTAACACAACGCATGGATTACAGTCTGATTCCAAATGTCTCCCGTTATGATTCCAAAACATGCTTCTCACTCTTAAATCTCACACCCTTAAGAACACAAATTTTGACCGAAGAAACAGAGAATGTAACAGAGATAGACGCAGAAATAGAGACAAAAGAAACAGAGTAATGCGAGAGGAAGAAGAAGAAAGAAGAAGTTTGACAAAGATCTTTAACGTCTTGGCTTGAAGAATCAGAGAGTACAAATTACAAAGAGAGTAATCAAAGAACAATGAATCACTCTCTCTTTCTCTCTCTCTCTCTCTTGGATCTCACCCACTCTTCCTCTAACCAACTCATAACAAATTCCCGGTACAATTTGAGATAACTAAACCGGAACCAATTAATCATGCCTTATGGCTGAATCTTTGTACCAATGAGCCTAACCAAACTGGTTCAACTGAATAACTAATGTTAACTGTCAATATTCCATAACCAAACACGGAATAATACTTGAAGATTATAGATTCCATAAAATACTTGATAATCAAGAGAGAAAGGTGAACCCAAAGTTCTAAATTAGCTGAACATCAAACCAAAAAATAACAAAAGACACTTACTACAAACACCAACATAAAACAAAGCCAAATAAATAATAAAAGATAGTGACGACGCGATGCCTCAGATGAGCTGAAGCAGCTCGCTGGGAAGTCCACTCGGTGCCGGCAACGTTTATCAACAAAGAATGCCATGAAAGTAGCAAACAGCATCGCTCCTATAATCACTGGGAATCCATATACGTATACGCCTCTTGATATAACTCTTCGTTATCTGGATTTGGGAATATACTGTAGTATGAAAATAACATAGCGACACCTAAAGCGGCCGTTGAACCATAGATGAACTTCCACATGGGGAGTCCAACTATGAGGATAAGGATCACATATAGAGATGATAAGAAGGCGAACCCATTGAGGGCAAGAAAAGATAAGGCTAAGTAGAAATCCATAGTCATCTCCCCAGCAAAGTTACTATTCTCATCTTTAAAATTTGAGGAATCATCCTGATAAAATCCGCCGGGAGGACTGAGACCAGCCTGGTATGTAGCTGTTGCTATCAGTACAGCCACAACAAGTATTGCATCGTGGCGGTTGCCAGTGGCGGAGCCACTTACGTTGAGTCGGGGGCGTTCGCCCCCAATAAATTTAAAAAAACTAGTGTACTTTATTAAAAGAGGTTTTTACTAAAAATAATCTAAAACTTGATTTTGAATGCAAAAGTAGACCCCTGATATAACATTTGACAAAAATAACCTAAAGGGATAGTGAAAAGACCATTTAATCATGTATGACCAAACAAAAAATGGATGTCCTAATTACCGTTTAAACCCTGACGAAGTCTACTAAAGACAGACAGAAATCTACTAGTAGACTTCTTACAAAAGATATGAAGTCTACTATATAATTAAATCAAAAAATTTAATTTTAAAATTCTTTAAAAAATATTTTAGTATTAAAATTACATTCATAAATTAGGTAATTGTAAGCCAAATGTATATAAATTACTTTTTTACATTCATAAGTTTAAATTTATGGTTTTGAATAATGTTTGCCAAATATTTGATTTATGGCTTAGAAGTAGTAGACTTCATCTTGAAGTCTACAAAACCGAATAAATATTTATCTTAACCAAAAAAATCAAAAATAATTACTTAACCAATACATAAACCAAAATTGAACCAACAATTCTGAACCAAAAATTATTCATTTAACCAAATTGTACCTCCCTATATAAAGGAAGCCCACATTTTGTAACCCTAATTTTGTAAAAATGAAAACTCAAACCTCTCTCTCTAAAACGGCGCTTCCCCTCTGTTTCAGATTCAACGAGAACATCGATTTTTTTAGATCTGCTTGCGAACGAGCTGTACACGAGGTCTTTTTCTCTGCTGTTTCAGGTTAGAAATCTCTCTTAAGATTATACTCTGCTTTTTGTTTTTAGGGAAAAGTTTGTTTGATCTTCACTGTAGGTGACCTCAACATAGTGAGCAACAAAAGAGGTCCACCGTCGACTTCCTCACCGCTGTGCAGCTTTGTCTGGGTATGGCTTTGATGTCTGGTTCAAATTGTTAGCTTTTTCAAGTTTCTTCTTTTTACTTATTAGCTGATGTTTTGTCCAGAAATTTTGGTTTTATTTAATTGGGATCCACTTTGTATTTTTTTTTTTATTCATAATGTACTAAGATCTGAGTGTCAGAACTAATTTGATTTAGTTTAGTAATCAGATCTGTGGTTATGTGTTTCTCGGAAACCTCCTCTTCCTCTTCTTTATTAGATTTGTTACTTGGGGTTGATGTTTAATTTTTACTCCTTTCATTTGCAGTATCTCACAAATCTCAACAATTCATCACTGTCATCTCCGAAAGCAGACTTCTTGAGTTGATTTCGAAAGAAGACTTCTTAAGTTGACTTCTTTCATTTGCAGTATCTCACAAATCTCAAAAATTCGTCACCGTCATCTCCATTTTCTCCACCATCGACATCAGAGACGGGTAGGGAGTTTTGTCCTAACAGGCCCAAGTGCCCAACACATAAGCTCATTTACAAATACAGAACCCAATAAGTAAATAATTGATCTTCTTGTTTGCTCATGATCTCTTTTTGTGTAATGATTATCAATTTTATCTGTAATGGTCATTAATTGTAATAATCATCAACTGTAGTAGTCTTTTAATTGTCATCAACCATTATTTTTATGTATCTTTATCAAATATGTAACATAATCAAATTATTCTATATGGACAAAATATAATGGTTGGTGCAAAGGAAAGTTCCATAAACTAATTCTAAATAAATTTTTTAAGTGACTGATTTTGCACCAGTTTTAAAACCACAAAATAGAAGAAGAATGGATTGGTGTTACATGTTTATTCAATGTCACAATTTTTTTGAAGTAACTGAATGTTGCATCAGTTTTAAAATCACAAAGTATGTCAAATCCAAAAAAAATAAAAAATAAAAAACAGAAGAATGGGGTGGGTGTTATTAACAAAAGAACTTATAAATGACTCTACAATCTTTTAGAATTTTTGAAGATTTATTTTTATGGAGTTGATTATTTTCTGTAATAAAACACAAAAAACCATATTAGCAAACGAAATTACAAACTACATTATTGCAAAAATGTAAGTAACAAATTTTCTATATAGGAGACTTCGTCTGGAGACTTCATCTGTAGACTGGAGATGAAGTCTATTCTTCCAAGCTAACTAGCTATTAAATCAACAAATTCGATTCCACAATAAATATTAACTTAAAACAAATGAAACTCATTGAGTAATTAGACCAATTGGTAACACACATTCCAAAACCTAAAAATACAAAAAAAATTTATATATATTCTCTAATTTTGTTTTTAAAATAATGATACCGAACAGACTTCGTGTGCAGACTTCATCGTAGACTGCTGGAGAAGTCTACTTTAATAAGCTAACTAGCTTAAAAATTAAAACAATCTGATTCCCCAATAAATATCGACTTAAATGAAATGAAAATCATTGAGTAGTTCAAACACTTGCTAACAAGCATTTCAAAACCAAAAATATGAAAAAATACTTTATAAATTTGCTTAAAACGCATTTTAAAAAAAAATACAATAAGTAGACTTCTACAACAGACTTCAAACGTAGACTGGAGGAGAAGTCTACTTTTTTCTATCGAAGTCTGCGAAAGAAGTCTACTTAAAAACAGGTTATTTTTGCAATTGACCAAATCGTTGACTTTTCCGTCAGTAGACTTCAAAAGTAGACTTCCGACCAAAAATGTTACTTTAGCATTTGACCGAGCCATTGACTAACAAAGTAGAATTCTATAGTAGACTTTAAGTAAGAGTAGACTTCTCTGACAATCTACTTTTGAAGTCTACTTTTTCAATAGAAGTCTACAGAAAAATTTAGGTTATTTTTACAATTGACTGTCTTTAGTAGACTTCACAGGGAAGTCTACTAAAAAAAAGATTCCTTCTAATTTTGACCGGAAAACAGAAGTAGACTTCCGCAAGAAGTCTACCGTTTTTAGACTTCTTTCTGAAGTCTACTGCAGTTTTCCAGAGTTTTCTGTATTTTTTATTTTTTAAAAAAACTTTAGTCAAACACTAAAATGACCTATACGTTTTTGGTCAAACTACAAAAACAAAAGTAACTTAAAAGTAGACTTCTTGTGCAGACTTAAACTGTAGACTTTAGAAAGAAGTCTATATTAAAAAGTCAAAATATAGTCAACTACAAAAATAACCTTTTTCTTTCGTAGACTTCTGAAGCCTTCAAACGAAGTCTACTAGGCTTTTTTTTTTGTTTTCAAATGATATCGAGTAGACTGCTTGTGAAGTTTAATGAAATCTACATTTAAAAAGTCAATTGCAAAAATAACCTTATGTTGACTAGTAGACTTCATTTTGAAGTCTACTTTCGCGATACAGATATAGATGTTACCAAAATTGAAGTGTACCATTACCTATATCGGTTTTGAGATTGTTTTTAGGTCTCTCATACACCCAAAACTCTGAATTTGACCAAAAGAAAACAACCCAGGTCTTGATTAAGCTGAAATCACCAAAAATGCATAATCTTTGACATTGTAACTCAGTCCAGAAGTTTTAGAAAAGAAATTAGGAAATAATATGTAAGGTTGTGAGTGTATGAGCTCTCATATTAACTTATTACAGCTTTAAAATTAGTTGAGAAGCATTTATTCTATTTTTTGGGTTGTTCATGGTGGTTGAAGGTATTGAAGAAGATGGCATTATTGTAATAAAAAGGGTTTTAGGAGGTCTAAGGAGACTTTAGCCAATATTTAAAAGAAAACAAAATAATGGGTTTATAATGACATTTTCGTTAATATCTTGAGTGAGAAGGATAAAATTGTGACAAAATGGCAAAAGTTGGAGAGAGAAAAAAAAGAGGTTAGTTTGGTGTTTGACTTTAAAATTCAGGTTATATCTGAAACTCTCTGTTATTAAACACTAGTGTTAATGCTCCCACTCATAAATCAAATATGTTTCTATATGTCCCCAATGAAAAAAAATTTTGGCTCCAGTAATGCTCAAATTGGTCAACCCCAAGAGATTGTTACGTCTCTCAATAAACGTTAGATTTTTACTCAAATATCCCGCAAGAGTCGTTGTGGAACGACCAAGTAGTCTTTCTTTAGCATTTTGGAGAAGTCTCCTTGCTTTGGGGAAACAAGGAGATTGGTGAGTTTGGAGTATATCAATGGCGGTTTTGCCATCCAAGTTCTTGGCTTTTACTTTAACGGTTTTACGCAGCAACTTCATAACCTGCAAAAATCCAGCACACCTCCAGCTAAATTCTAGGTTGAAAAATGAGACAGAAAACATATATATAATAAGGCCATGGGATAACCTCCCACTTATTGCGACAGAGACCCATGTACTTTTGCAATAACTATATTGAAGAGAGAAAAGTCCCAGGTCATGAGAGCATAACTATCCATTTTAATGGTCAAACAGAACTATCTGAACAAGAATTTTGAGGGAAGGTAGAAACTAAATGACAAGAGAGACATTTACCTCAGTTTGATTCATTGATGCAGCAATATGGAAGACTGTATTACCATCTTCATCCTTCCATTCCAAGATTTCCTTCTTGTTTAATCTCTTGAACCATCCATATAGAACCTTAAATGCCGGAAGCTGCTGGTTCTTCACGGCAATGTGCACAGCTGTCTCACACTTAACCGTCAAATCTTCTACGGAATAAGGACAGGCAATCAAGAACTTACTCAACAACTCTGCATCGCCAATTCGAGCCACATGATGCAACGGAGTAATCCTTCCTTTTCCCTTGATGCTGATTAAGCTGCTGTCAATTGCCACAAATCCTCTCACTATTCGAATGTGGTTGTTTTGCAGGGCTAAATGCATTGGGCTGAAACCTGACACGTTCAGCTTCGAAGCGAACGTTGGCTTAAGGGTCATTAACTCCATGGCAAAATGAGTGTGCCCTCTTTTGGCTGCAATGTGTAGTGGCGTCTCACAAAAAGGCACTTTATCGAAGAGACCTAGAATGTCTGGATCTTCTGCTATCAACTTGTAGAGTTTTTCTACACTCCCATCTTGAGCTGCCTTCTGCAATTTCTCATAGATATATGCATCATGAGTGCTCGTACCTGAACGTCCACTCAGATTTGCATCTTGAGCTACCATATCTGATACTCTAGTGACATCCACAACAATCGACATAACTTTACTAGTCACCTAGGCTTCTGCTGCCTCCTCAAACTTTTTTTATTGGCTCCTGAAACAGTTGTCAAATCAAATAATACGTATCAGTCATAACAACTACCGATCAAGCATATTATTTAAAACAAATGCAGATCAAACAAATCTAGCGAGTTATCTTATTAGACTGAATGGTGGAAAACATATAAATGTTGCAAATGTAATATTTCAGAAGAATGTATATGTTGCTCTTTTTTATGAAGCTATATTATGGATGATGTCTGAACATGCATAACTAACTAGTTATTGTAAGCAAGTTCTATATAATTATGAAGATGCAAAATAAATATATATATAATAATTTTCTATAGATTTATGTTATGTATATTTATAATAATTGAGGATAATCAATACAAAATATGTATAATATATATATACACATTGCAGCCACCACAAGTATTGCATCGTAGCGGTTGCTAGTGTTTAAAGACATGTCTCCGGTCATGCTCAAATTGCTCAGCCCCAAGAGATTGTTACGTCTCAATAAACGTTAGGTTTTTGCTCAAATATCCCGCAAGAGTCGTAGTAGAACGACCAAGTAGCCTTTCTTTAGCACTGTGGAGAAGTTTGCTTGCTTTGGGGAAACAAGAAGATTGGTGAGTTTGAAGTATGTCAATCGCTGTTTTGCCATCCTAAGTTCTTGGCTTTTACTTTAGCGGTTTTACGCAGCAACTTCATGACCTGCAAATGTCGAGCATACGCATAGTTCTTAAGATAAAGAATCCCACATTGATAACTGATAAGAATATATGCTAAGTTCAAGGGGTATCCTCCCACTTATAAACACAGAAAACCATGTACTTTTACAAAACTATTTATCATGAGAGCATATATCTATTTTAATGGACAACCAGCAATGTTCTAAACAAGAATTTTGAGGAAAAAGGAGAAATAAGAGATAAGAGAGACATGTATAATATATATATACACATTGCAGCCACCACAAGTATTGCATCGTTGCGCTTGCTAGTGTTTAGAGACCTGTCTCCAGTCATGCTCAAATTGCTCAGCCCCAAGAGATTGTTACGTTTCTCAATAAACGTTAGCTTTTTGCTCAAATATTCCGCAAGAGTAGTTGTGGAACGACCAAGTAGCCTTTCTTTAGCGTTGTGGAAAAGTCTGCTTGCTTTGGGGAAACAAGGAGATTGGTGAGTTTGAAATATGTCCATCGCTGTTTTGCCATCCAATTTCTTCGCTTTTACTTTAACAGTTTTACGCAGCAACTTCATGACCTGCAAAAGTTGAGCACACGCATTGTTCTTAAGATATAGAATCCCACATTCATAACTGATAAAAATGTATACTAAGGTCAAGGGATATCCTCCCACTTATAAACACAGAAAACCATGTACGTTTACGAAATATATATTAAATATCATGAGAGCATATCTATCTACTTTAATGGACAAACAGCAATGTTCTGAACAAAAATATTGAGGAAAAAGGAGAAATAAGAGATAAGAGAGACATGTACCTCAGTCTGATTCATCAATGCAGCAATGTGGAAGACTGTGTTACCATCTTCATCCTTCCAGTCCAAGATTTCCTCTTTCTTTACACGCTTGACCCATCCCAATAAAACCTTGAATGCCATAAGCTGGTCGTTCTTCACAGCAATGTGCACAGCTGTCTCACACTTAGTCGTCAAATCTTCTATGGAATAAGGACAAGCGAACAAGAACTCGCTCAACAACTCTGCATCACCTATTCGAGCCACATGATGCAAAGGAGTAATCCTTCCTCTTCCCTTGATGCTCTTCAATTGCCACAAAACCTCTCACCACTAGATTGTGGTTGTTTTGCAGGGCTAAATGCATTGGGCTGAAACCTGACATGTTTAGCTTTGATGCAAGCGACGGTTTAAGGGTCATTAACTCCATGGCAAAATGAGCTTTCCCCTTTTCAGTGCAATGTGTAGCGGCGTCTCACAAAAAGGCATTATATCAAAGTGAGCTAGAATGCTTGGTTCTTCCGCTATTAACTTGTAGAGTATTTCAATATCCCCATCTTGAGCCGCCTTCTTCAATGTATCATAGATGTTTTCATCTTGAGTGCTCGTACTCGAACTCCCACTCAGATTTGTGGCTACAATATCTGATACTCTATCGACATTCACAACAATCGACATAACTTCACTGGTCACCAAGGCTTCTGCTACCTCCACAGTTCTTTATTTAATTTTGGCTCCTGGAACACAGTCTCCAATCAACTACCTCGTATATATGAGACATTGATTATTATAACTTAGATCACTCATTTTCCACATGGCATTTTAAAATGAATGATCGAGACATCGCAAATGAAATTTAGGTTGGTTCCACATCGAATGGTTGCCAGACAATATATTAACACTATTTGCCAGACATCGCAAATGAAATTTAATGTCTTTTGTCTCTCTGATGACAAATCTTGCAAGTACAACACTATTTGCCAGCCAAGATATTAACACTAGAAACTAAATACTACAAATGAAATTAAGAAGGCAAAAAAACTGATAATTATGAATAGTTTTATCAAACATGGAAAACAATAAAAAAAAAAATTGGAAAATTTTATTTTTTTAACACACATAAAATTTCTTTTTTTGTGCAATAATAAATATTCAAAATTTAAACCTGGTAAAATACAAGAAAACAACAAGATGCACCATTGAAAGTAACACATGAACGTTACACAAATGATTATAACAGAGCAAAAATTATGAACAGCCAACTTTTGTGTCCATATAAAAGAAACGAACAGTCGTATGGTATATCACTTACGATTGCTAGCATATGAATATATCTTCCCATCAGCGATTGCAAAAGTAAAAGCCCACCACTAACCTCTCCGGGACATTTCATGGCGAAATGATTGTGCCTCTTTTTGCCTGCAATGGATAGAGCTGCCTCACAAAACAGGACTTAATCAAAATGACCTATGTTTGAATCTTCTGCTATACTCGTAGAGTTCCAAGATGGAGATATAGAAAGATTCTACGAGTTGATAGCAGAAGATCAAAACATTCTAGGTGATTTTGATCTTGAACTCACACTCAGATTTTTCATCTTGACATCAATACCAATCGACAAAACTTCACTAGTGATCTTGGCTTCTACTACCTCTACATTTTTTCTTTCTTTCGTGGCTCCTGCAACACATGCTGAAATACAAAACACAACGTCTCCAACCATCTATCTTGCATATGAAAGGCTGTAAAATCAGTACGACCATCTCTTCTAGGCAACAATATGGCAACTAAATATAGATTAATGGCGTTTCAGAATGAGTGATCGAGATATCGCAAATTAAATTTAGTTAGGTTCCACATCAGAATGGTAGAAACCCATCAAGTCTTTTGTCACTCTGATGTCAAATTACAACACTATTGCCAAACAAGATATCCCCACTAGATACCAAACAGTACAAAAGAAATTAAGAAGGCCAACGTACAAAACTGATGATCAATTGTGAATTAGGCCAACATTACAAAAGTGATAATTGTGAATTAGGCCAACGTACAAAACGATCATAATGAATTAGGCCAACGTACAAAACTGATCATTGTGAAATTTCAAGAAGAAACCAAATAGTACCAAAGAAATTAAGAAGGCCAACGTACAAAACTGATGATTGTGAATTAGGCCAACGTACAATAGTGATCATTGTGAATTAGGCCAACGTACAAAACTGGTCATAATGAATTAGGCCAACGTACAAAACTGATCATTGTGAAATTTCAAGAAGAAACCAAATCGTACAAAACTGATAATTATGAATTTTATTCTCTAACAGCGCTATGAAGGTGTGCAGATGAACACATAAAATATGAACAGCCAACATTTGTGTCCATACCAAACAACAAAGAAATGAACAGTAATATGAAATATGATATATCATATGTTCATATACTATTGCTTGCTGATATGAACACATCTTTCCATCAGAGAAGGCAAAAAAAAAAGTCAAAGACCAACAGGAACTTGATTTCATAATGTAATATTCAGAAGAAAATTTAAGAATTGTTAAGCTCCAAAACAACAATCCTAACATATACCAATATACCTGGAACTACAAAGATCTTGAGCTCATAACTAGGACTGCAATGATAAACGTAAATGGAAATAATAGAAACTAAACGATCAGAGATGTAACTAACACAACAATGAAAATGGAGAAGTTGTCACAGTACTAATGAAAACTCCAATTACTCTTAAGAAAGAGCTACTACTTACTAGCTGCTACAAGTCATGAGTCTTCACCTTAATAGAGAGTAGCTATGTCCATTTTCAGTTCTAATGCTTATAAGCTTTTCTGGGTCTTGCATGAATAATGGCTCTTTCTCTCTTCACGGGTCCATGAATAAGGCAGTTCCTGTTGGGAATCAATCCAAAGTCTCACATCCGAAGTTTAGACCAATATGGTACTATAAGTAATGTCCAACTCCAACTAGTATGAGGTCTTTTGGGAAGGAGCCCAAAACAAATCCGTGCAGGCTTTGCCAGTTAGGCCCAAAGCGGACAATATCATACTAATTGAGGGAGATGGACATGGGCTTGGAAAAGCCCAATAAATGGTATCAGAGCCCAGGTTAAAAAAAATGGATCTGGAGAAGTTGGATTGGACTGAATGTTCGGTGTAGGAGAGAAACCCTCAAGATGACCTTGCGATTAAGAAGTACAAGATGGTACTAAGTATCGCTCTAGGTTAGAGATCAAGAGTTATAGGGTCTTTGGCTTGAGGGGGAGATTGTTGGGAATCAATCCAAAGTCCCACATCGGAAGTTTAGACTAATATGGTCTAGTATATAAGTAATGTCCAACTCTAATTAGTATGAGGCCTTTTGGGAAGGAACCCAAAACAAATCCGTGCGGGCTTTGCCAGTTAGGCCCAAAGCGGACAATATCATACTAATTGGGGGAGTTGGACATGGGCTTGGAAAAGCCCAATAGTTCCACTCGGATAAGACCTCTCTGGGACATTTCATCGAACACTATACTTGCACGGGCCAATGGCCATGTGACATAGAACAATAGATTCCAGTCTTAAATGTCTCCCGTTATAATCGGCTCTTATGATCTGCATAGGAATTCAGAGCCGTTCCCAGAGATACGAAGCTCGTAAGCGAACTTTTAAAAAGGCCCTCATCGTATCAAATCCATATAAAATTAATCCAAATCGTATTAAATAAATAATAACTATGATCGTCTCAATCCTTATAAAACCAATAATAAAAACATAATCCAAAAAAAACAGGATAACAAAACTTAAAACATAATTTTTCTTCCCTTCTTTGTAACGAACTCATTGACCAAGTTTTTAAAGTCAACACTTTTAACCAACTCCCTTTCGATAGACAAGATAGCCAAGCCACTCAACCTCTCCTGTGACATACTCGAACGAAGATACGACTTTATCAACTTCAACTTTGAAAAACTTCTTTCAGCAGATGCAACTGAAACTGGAACCGTCAATAATATTCGATAAGCGATCCATGCGTTTGGATACATATGATCAACATTCTTCAGAAAGTCTAAGATTTGAATGGGCCTCTTAGTAAAACCTGGTAAAGCTTCTCTTAACATTTTTAATTCATAAAAGACATCATTAGCAACAACATCTGAATGCTTCCCATGTGTTAGATGATCTTCAAGTTTGGTACAAGAAGCCATCAAAGTATCATCACTCGCTGACCGCAATTTCGAGACATCAAACAAAAAGCCAAATATTTCTTCATACCTCTGAAATTGTTCAAATCTCGTCTTAAGGGAATAAAGTGCTTGATCCATAATCTGGATGAAATAGTCAATTCTAAAGCTCTCCTCTGGTGATAATACCACATTTTCTTTGTCTATCTGAGACTTATCACCATAATGTTGTTTTCTTCTAATGATCCATTTTGATTTTCTTGGAAATACAGCCTCAATCTCCATAGAATTTGCAATCTTTGTAGCTTCCAACTTTGCTTGCTCAAAACCTGAATTTCTGTACTTTTCAAAATAAGAAACCAGCCCCTTCTGTTGTGAGAGAGCAATATCAATATACATGTCTTCTGACTGCAAAATCTTACTGATAATTTTCACAGCAAAAAGAAGATTATACCAAATGACCATGGAAACTAAGAATTCAAAACTTCCAATTCTATGTGTTTCACTTGTTGCAAGACACTCAGCATCGCTCTGCTCTTGCGGATCATCACTATTCTCAGCAATGTACACTAAAACCTCCAAGTTTAGGAGTTTGAAATCGTATTGCTTTAACACTTTCAACATGACTTTCCCATCGAGTCTGAGACAAAGGCTTGAGTGTTAGGCCTCCCACCCTATCTTCTAATATTTTTCACCGCTTATTAAAAGCTGCAAAGAAGCACTAAGTTCATTGAATGATTCCAAAAAACGAAATTGCCTTTGAAGAAGTGCTTGCCATATCACAAAGAGCAATATTAAGACTGTGACAACCACAAGGTGTATAAAAGGCCCTTGGATTAATCTCAAGTAATCTTTTTTGCACTCCTTTGTGTTTTCCCTTCATATTAGAGCCATTATCGTAGCCTTGCCCCCTCACATCATCGACTTTCAAATCCAAAGCAACCAACACATCTTGAAGTTCAGAAAAAAGCCCTTCTCCAGTAGTATCATAAACTTTCAAGAATGTTAGGAAGAATTCTTCGACCTTAGGTGAACTGGCTGAAACATCTACACACCGAATGACAACAGTCATTTGTTCATGATGGCTAATATCTGGAGTACAATCAAGAATGACAGAAAAAAACTTTGCACCCTGGATTTTCTTGATAATCGTTGCTTTAATCTCATTAGATAACAAAGTAATCAACTCATTTTGAATTTTGTTGCTCAGATAATGATAACGAGTTTCACCTTCTTTAAACCTTCTAAGATGCTCAATCATCACAGGATCAAAATCAGCAAGCATCTCGATAAAACTTAAAAAGGTCCCATGGCCATCTTCTCCAATCTTTTCATTGCTTCCACGAAATGCTAGATTTTGTTTAGCAAGTGTCTTGACAACAGAAATTATTCTAAGTAATACTTGCCTCCAATGAACTCTCTCTTTATTCATTTCATCTTGAGCATACTTATCAATGGTCTGATTTTTCTGTAGCCGATGTTCTAATTCCATCTATTGTTTCATGCATACAATGTGTTCCCGACCAGATTCATGCTCTTTAAGCCTTTTCAAAATATTTCTCCAATCGCTGAATCCTGTAGATGCCAATTGACCATTGTCACGATCTTTGAACAGCTTGCAACAAAAACAAAAAATGTTGTCCAATGATTTTGAGTAAACTAGCCAACGCCGATCTTGTTTTTTTCCATCACTCATTTCTCTTGTGTAATAAATATGTAAGAAATGCCTCTTAACTCTGTTTTTTGGAAATTTATAATCAATGGGTAGTCTTTTTGCCGGTCCTTGAACAACCATAAAATCTCTCCATTCATTCCATCCTTTTTTATGCTTTTCCAGTTTCCAGGATCATACATATCTACAACTCCACAATGCTCCATCATATCATCCTCTTTTTCACATTCATTCTTATCGTCATCCTCATCTTCCATTTCTTTTAAACCCTCTTCATTTACTGCATCCCCTTTTTCATTCGAATTCTCCTCATCCACCGTATTCACATCCTCTTTCTCATTTAAGTCATCTTCATTCACTGCATTCGCATTCTCTACTCCATCTCCAGAAACACCATGATGCTCATCATTTTTTTCTATAGATGTATCCAGAGTTTAAGATTTTTGAAGTACTTTGAATAAAGCATTCGCTTGAGGTTTTTCTTCTTCTTCTCTTTTTTGTTTATGTTTTCTTTTGTCATGTCCACTTAATGGTTTTTTTAAGTTGTTCGAAGACATCTGGAAAAAAAAAAGTTACAAAAAATTAGCAAAAAAACAAAAATATGATAGAGTTAATATTGTGTGAGCCGATAGCCCGTATATCAGATATTAAACTGATAAAAACAGATACTACATTTTATCTTGGCCAACAGGTCAAGAAAGATATAAAAATTATAATACCTAAATCTTTAAACTAAATATCACCTTTTCCAAAATAGGAAAAAAATATAGAGATTATCGTGAATAGAGAAAAGAAATTATTGTATCTTATTCCAAATAATGAGAGATATATATAGTCAAGTCGAGAGTTAGTTATGCTAACATTTAACCAATGTGGGATTTTTTTAAAAAAAAAGTTAAAAGACATCGTAGTGGCCAACATTAGTCATTACTCATTAACCTAATTTTTTTATTAGTTAGATATTGGGCTTAATAATCAATTAAAACCTGTTACACCTATTCTTCTTGGGCCTTCGATTTTTTTCATAAACTTTGGACCCATAGGTCAGTGCTTCTTTTCCTATAACATAGGCACGGGCCTGCATAGGATATCAATCTTGAAAGTTAGGGTTCTTCGCTTATTGTAAGAACGATATTGAGGTTTCAAAATCCCATATTTTTATAAATCACATTTAATGATAAAAGTTATTAAATTATAGTTTTTTTCAACAATAAAAAATGATAGATAGAAGAAATGCACATAGGTAAAAGATGTATTGTTTTTTGTTTTTAAATGTCAATCAATAATTAGAAAAATGAGGTTATTGTAGAAATTAGAATTTGTTTTGCCTCTAAGTTTTTTATTTTAGAAATGAAAATTTTGTTTGCTTTTATATTTTTTATTTGATTATTAATTGAAAAAATAACAATATTTATAAATAAAATAACAACAGCTTACCGTAAGTTTTTGGAACATATTTTGGTTTTTTGTTCTTTCAAACCAACTTTCCATCCAATCATGATTCTGGTCAAAGAGATTCCTTAATTTTTAGGAAAACTAGATTTTTTATAGATTTACCAATTCATTCATAGAAACTAGAATCTCTATTCTATGTTTTTTTCTCAATTATTTGTCGAAATTATTTTTTGTTTTTATTAGGAAATTTGTTTTGTTTCGAATTTTAGACATCAACCTAGTTATCGTAATCGAAAAGGATTTCTTTCGCAAAACGTACTAGCTACCTGTAACTTTGATCTAGAGTTCATGTATGTTTTAAGTGGATGGGAAGGTTCGGCTCACGACTCAAAAGTTCTACAAGATGCCTTAACAAGAAGAACTAATAGACTGCAAGTTCCGGAAGGTAATTTCTAATTCAGGTCTAACTAATATGATCATAAATGATGTAATATTTTGAATTTAAATGAGTTATTATGTCTTTTGGTGTTTCAGGAAAATATTATTTAGCTGATTGTGGATTTGCAAATCGTCGTAATTTCTTAGTGATGCAGCGCATCTTCTTCTACTTCAACTAGGATTTTACTTATTCCTTTTATTATACTTATTTAGATAAGTTAAACTACTTATGTCGATTTAGCATATTTCCTTTTCGTCTAATCCTATTAGGAATTACATTAGGGTTTTCTTTTCTTTGCTATTTAAGCGAACCTAAGCTTGTAAAGGTTCGTCAGACTTATAGAATTAATAATCAGAGCTTTTCAGAGCCATATTAGTTCTTCAAGTCGCAAAACTTACTTACGTCTTAAGCTTTCGGAGTTAACGAACTTCTGTCGATCATCTCTTTCTCCTTTAAATCTCTTTCGCTGCGTCAGTTTTGGTATCAGAGCTTTGTCGTTCCTGCGAAATTTTTTTTTCTCTTAAACCATGCCTCCTAAACGTGACGAAGCTGTGAACGATTGGGCAGAGCTGCGGCGTACGCTGGTGGCGATGCAAGAAAACTTCCAGACCATGCTTCAAAACTCGATCCAGGAGCTGACCGACACCGTTCTTCATCAGCGCGAACAGGGTCGTGTGGCACAAGAAGCAGACGTGGAGGAAGACAACCCGTTTGCAGCTCATGTTCCTCGCCGGCGTCGGAGTGGTGGTAATCATGCCGTTGAGCAGGATGATCGAAGATGGGAATCAGGATTCAAATTAGACATCCCTGAGTTCCATGGTGGTGTGCGAGGAGAAGAACTCCTCGATTGGTTGGTTGCAGTGGAGGAAGTTTTGGAACTCAAGGAAGTGCCCGAAGATAGGAAGGTACCACTGGTGGCGACGAAGTTTCGTGGCAAAGCTGCCGCCTGGTGGACGCAACTCAAAACAACTCAAGCACGGTTGGGAAAGGAACGAATTAAAACATGGGAAAAATTACAGCGAGCTTTGAAGAAAAGTTTTCTTCCGTATAATTTCGATAGGACGATGTACACTCGCCTTCAGAACTTGCGACAGGGTACTCGCACCGTCGATGAATACGCCGAAGAATTTTCGCTATTGTTAACGCGTACAGAGATTTATGATAGTGAGGTGCAGTTGGTTTCTCGATTTATTGGCGGCTTGCGTCCTCAACTTCAATCTGCTATGGCTCAATTCGATCCCGACACGGTCTCGGAAGCGCATCGACGAGCAGTGGCGTTTGAGCAGCAGTTTAAGTCGTCTTCTATGGGTTGGAATTCTGGTCCCTATCGATCGCGAACTACTGGGAATTCAACTGGTGAGAATTCGTCCGCTCAGGAGAACAAAAAAGATTCTACGGCAGCATCTATTACTCAACAAGTGGCTAGTGCACATACAGAACAGACATTGCGTCGCTCGTCTCGACCTAATGCTCTGCGTTGTTTTGCTTGTGGTGAGCCTGGACACTTACAGACCGCTTGTCCTAAACAGACGCGGAGGGGGTTGTATGTCGACGAGTCCAAGTGGGATAATGAGGATACTTCGGATGATCAGGAGAATGAGGGTGACGGTGACTTGATCGAAGACCACCATCATGGTGATACAGGTCAGTCGCTGATGCTCCGACATGTGTGTCTGGCTCCAGTGACGCTTGAGGAACCTTGGCTTCGCACCAATATCTTCCAGTCCACCTGTACGATCAAAGGGAAGGTGTGTCGGTTCGTTGTGGATTCTGGTAGCTGTCGCAATGTAATTGCAGAGGATGCAGCTCGAAAGCTGGGTTTGAAGCGCGAAGCACATCCGACGCCTTATAAGCTCACATGGTTGAAACAGGGAATAGAGATTAGGATTGAACATCGCTGCCTAGTGTCATTCTCGATCGGATCTCATTACAAAGATAAGATTTACTGTGACATTGCACCGATGGATGTCAGTCATCTTCTTCTGGGTCGACCTTGGCAATATGATCGCAGTGTGGTTCATGATGGACGTCGTAATAGCTACAGCTTCGTTTTCGAGCACCGCAAAATAGTGCTGTTTCCATCACCACAACTTCAAGCTCCATCGACGCTGCAGGATACAGATCTCGCCGTAGACTCGCCTCAGCCTATGAGTTCGTCAGTTTTATTCTGCTCACGTCGAGAGTTCGAAAAAGAGTTCAGAAGTGACGGTTGCGTTTGGGCCTTGGTAGCGGCTAATCCCACAGTACAGGAACCCCGTCCTTTGTCATCGCGTTTCTCTGAGTTACTCAACGACGTTAAGGACGTGTTTCCTACCGAATTGCCAAAAGCGTTACCACCTCTACGTGATATTCAACATCAAATCGATTTAGTGCCGGGTGCAGCCCTCCCTAATCGCCCTCATTATCGTATGAGTCCACAGGAACATGAGGAACTTCGTCGTCAAGTAGAAGAATTGTTGGTGCGTGGTCATATTCGAGAGAGTTTAAGTCCGTGTGCTGTCCCAGCCCTCCTCATTCCCAAGAAAGATGGCTCTTGGCGTATGTGTGTTGATAGTAGGGCTATTAACAAGATCACGGTACGCTACAGATTTCCCATTCCGCGGCTCGACGACCTGTTGGATCAGATTGGTACAGCTACGATATTTTCCAAGTTGGACCTGAAGAGTGGCTACCATCAGATTCGAATTAAGCCTGGAGATGAATGGAAAACGGCCTTTAAAACGCGGGAAGGTCTATTTGAGTGGCTCGTCATGCCTTTTGGCTTGTCTAATGCCCCCAGTACCTTCATGAGAGTTATGAATCAGGCATTACGACCTTTTATTGGACGTTTTGTCGTTGTCTATTTTGACGATATTCTCATTTTTAGTTCCTCTTTGGCGGACCATCTTGATCATCTACGTCAGGTTCTTGCTGTCTTGCGCAAGGAGTCTTTGTTTGTTGCACAGCAGAAATGCGAGTTTGGCGTGGATCAAGTTCTGTTTCTGGG